GTTAAAGACAACTTATACGTGGACAACCTTGTCGTAACCCTCGATGACCCCGAAGAAGCCATGGATCCGAGCGTGAAGGAGTACAAGGTATTCGAAAGTATTGCCAATGGCTTCTTCAGCAGTAGTTGAGTACTGTGCGAACTCTTCTTCAGTATTCGGTGACGTTGGGTGTGACTTTTCGAACATGGTAGCGAGTTCATCTAGTGCGTGTTGAATCTTTGTGGTCATGTTTTCTAACGCTGCCACTGCTTCCTCTAACTGCTGTAGGCTTGTTTGAATAACGGTGGGCGTTATCTCATCTTGCAGGTTTTGAACGCTGATTTCTTCTAACTGCGCGTCTTTGAATCGGGTTAGAACTTTTTGTAATTGGTTAGTATACCGCGTGAGTATCCGTTTGTGACTTGCCAGTGATAGGTTGGACATGATTGAAGAAATTAACGTACTTGGTTGTAACTTCCTTGACCTGATGGATCCTTTCAAGCGGCCAATGCACCACAATTTGGTGGACGGCTAGATTATATAGGAATACCAAGTAGTTAAAATGATTCGGTCGGAGTTTGCTGCTCGCCTTTGTGTATGCCACGNGACTTCTTGTAAGTAGTAGTCACAATGCCGGAAACCTCAAACTTGGGTAATTAAACCGTTTATCATAATTATACAACAATCATAACAATGCAACTCTACAATTAATGTAACAATGATACTGGTTATGAGTAGGCGCAGCCTGATCACTGGTGCTCAGGTTGCTTGTGAGTGAAGATATTGGCATAACACTTTTACTACATGAGATGGATGTGACGCACGAATGCGGTGACTTGGGCAGCATTGCTGTGACATGAGCTAGCTAACCGTAGAGCCGTTTATATACCTTTGCGCTGGGCGGAGTCAGATTACAGTAGGCGGAGTTGGGCTACAGTAGGCAAAAAGACGGGTGCTGGAAACATTTCACAAGCCTTGCGATCTGATAGAGCGATATTCAAAGCCTTGGACCGTAAGTGCAGATATTTTACGAGATAGACGCCAGCGAAATGTTAGACATACGGCTATCAGATCGTCATAGAGGAAAGGTCATGGGAGAAGCATTTGAAATATTTGGAAGGGTTATCAGATCGTAGTGGAGAAAAGGTCATGGGAGAAGCATTTGAAATGTTTGGAAAAGTTATAATTGATTTACATAGAGAACATTCCAATATTCGTGAAGAATGTTCTCTATACAACTATCCGAGAGCAGTTCTTTCAAAGATGTCATTCGAGCTGATATTCCTGAAGCGAAGGTCTTGTTGTTCTTACTACGATTTGGATTTCCTTCCAATGGTATACCGCCTCGTGGTCGGGAGGTGTTCCTGGGTATGGGATTACGATGTACATTCCCCCGACAAGGTATCCCAAGCTGAGGAGTCCGGTGTTACCAACACGAAATGTAGCTAAGAGTTAACTAATACCAGCATCCACCACCGTCCTGGTATCAAACGAGATGCATGATGGTAAATCTCCCTCTGATCCACAAGGACGAAGACTGCCTGTGGTGGTGACGAACTGGGGCAGACTTTGACTAGGCTCACCTCGGGACTAGGAACCACAGTAGCTAAACCAGCAAAACACCGAAAAAGTGGAGATTATGCTGGAGCTTACACAAAAAGTGAGGATGGGCTATCCAAGTATCCAAGTAGAGATCTGAATCTACCCGTTGTCAACGGGAATCAGCAGCATGGACCCACTACCATGGGATTCGCGCCTTTTTCATATCATAGTAAACACCGCCTTCATATCATTCTGAGACAGGTGAACATTAGTTCTTTGTGTATAGGAAAAGGAAATAAATCTTGGTTGCTTCTTGAGCAGCATACTATGAAGTGATGCGCGTGTACACATGGCACGTTAGAATTGCATTTTACGACGACCACGATTCCGTTCATAACTTTCTTGGCTTTTTTTCAGAAACTAATCTTGTACATATATTTAAGGCGCGCGTAGCGCAATGGTAGTGATCCTGTTCATTACGCCGACGGCTTCACCTACTCAGGCCTTCGTTCGATCCTACACCAGGCCCTCTAAACCTCTCAACTCTCCAGTGTTGGAAAATTGATGCCAGACTTATATGAGCCAAGCTCATTCACTCATCCACGTAGAAACGGTCCAGCACGGCTATCCCGCGATTCCAGAGAGAATCGACTCGACCAGCCCCAAAGGGCACTCGTAACGAAGAGGAAGATTTCAAGAAGCAGCGGACGCCACGAGAAAAAAAAAACTTGAGAATCTCCATGGAGTGTGAATGCGAGGAAACGAATCGAATATAAGAAGTGCTGTGATTCGCAAAATGTGATACATGTGGTGTAGGGTCATGTGGTAAACAAATAAATATGCATGCGTATTATTTTGAGAAGTACAGCTAAAGTGGCACGTGTGGCGCAGTGATCAGAGGCGTACTACAGTACACATGGGATCGATCCCTGCGCCCCAAACTCACCAAGCCTTCTGTCCCTCCGGAGTAGGTGAATTGGTACCAACCTTGTCTGGGAGGATACCAGCACAGACTCGATGCGTCGGTAGCCCACCGCGAGTCACTGTATAGGCCAGATATGCATTTAATCACCTCCAACAATGCTTATTGAAGTCGAATGCATGACCTATCCCTCAGGATCAACGGTGAGAACTTTATCCTTTCATCCTTCTTATAGACGAAGTTTTTTGCAGTCTACGTGATCAGAAACAGTGTCACTTGTCGGCAAACTGTTTTCTGAAGAAAGTGTCATTCGACAATCCATTCCAGATAAGATTTTACGCATTGAAAATCCACACCATGCTACTGTTTTCTGCCGCTCAGTCTATAAAACGGCCAATATAGGGGAGAAGCTGGAGGCCGTGCTTTTTTGCCTGGCGCAAAATGCACCGCTCTGTCTGCATCGCGTGCTCATGTCACGAGCTCGTCAGTTCGCGGCCGAGGATTTGGGCTGCGCTTTCTGGCTCTGCGCTAGGAGCTCTGATTTCTTCGTTGAGTTACAGAAATGTGGTTCATATGAAACGTTACTTTGCTTAGATTTTGAGCATACTCATTGCATTCTTCATGATTGGAAACGAAATATCCATTGTCCGATGGTCTTGCGACGAGTTTCTTCCATTTTTCTTTAGTATTGTAATACGGAGTTCTGCAAATATCTCAGTATGATTGTGGTTGTGAAATCCCACAAGCTTCTTTTCCCGTGGTTGTTCTGTACGAGCTAATCTCCGCAGGCTTTCTCTAAGTCATATAAGCATACGTTTCGCTTGACTAATGTTTGGTGTTATAAGGGCGATGTAATAAGCAAAGCGAAGGTGGTGTAACTGCCGACCATCGATTTTCACTTCCATATTATCCCATTCCAATGTTCGCATGACGTTCTGGAGGGTGGAGATAAATAATTTTGTCGAGATGGTATTGCCTTGCCTAACTCCTCTTTTGACATCAATGTTAATATCGTTGTAGAATGGTGATACCTTGGTTGTGAAATTTTTGACCAGCTCACGAAGAATCTTTATGTACTGAGTAGGGACTCCTTGATTATCAAGGGCTTCCATGACTGCTATCTCAACTGAGTCAAAGGCCTTCTTTAAATCGATGAAAGTGAGGCAGAGCGGTCTCTTGTACTCTCGCGATAACTTCAGTGAGTCTTGTTATCGTGTGGATGTGGTTTATTTCTTTTCGAAACACGTTTACGATGACTCGAGTGAAATGTTTGCAGACGACAGATAGTAAGCAGATTGGGCGATAGTTGCCGATATCGTGCAGGTCACCCTTCTTGAACAATAACACGGCCCTGCTGGTCTTCCACTGAGTAGGAACCTTGCATTCGGACAGGTAACGTGTGAAGAGTCGAGCTAGCGTGTTTACGAGGACTGGCTGAAGGTTCTTCAGATGTTCTGGTCTTATCCTGTCCGTCCCTGGCGTTGTTCGTTTTTTCACCGACGAAATGGCATATCGGATTTCGGAAGGGAGAACCGGTGATACAACATTTCCTTCCTCTATTTCATATGATCAAAGGCGGACGTGGCTATCGGAGAGATCCGAGTAGTATTCGTGAATGATTTTCTCCATTGTCTTTCGGGACGCTGTAATTATTCCGTCTGGGCGCCGGAGTGCAATTGTTTTGGTCTTGTAATTGGCGAAACTTCGGTGGGCTTTGCGGATGCTTTTCCAAGCCTCTGCAGCTTCGACCATCACTGCTGCTCTTCTCTCTTTAAGATCTTCTTTTATCGCCTGTCTGCATCGTTCTGCAAGTTCGGAGGTCGTTTAGGTAGGTAAAAATAAAGCTCTCGGAGTTGATCAATCCCTGAGGGTTGCGCTATGCATTCTACTTCATTAAATATAGTTGAAGGTGATTGAATTCACATTTGGTCTTTACTAGGACTGGCGGTTGCTGCCAATGTATCGAGTCAGTGATGTTATCTTCCCAGACAGGTCTGGTACCAATTTAGCGATCCCGGAGGGATGGAAGGCTTGGTGGGTCAGAGGCTCGGGGATCGATCCAATGTGTGTTGCAGGGCGCCTCCGACAACTGCACCACACGTGTCCAGTTTTTTAGGTTTAGTATGTATCATTGTGAATTTCTGTCTTTGCTGCACTTTGATTGGCTTGTTTTTTTTCATCCGCATATTTACTCGTTTTTTGCACTTTGATTTAATGAATAATTCATGCCTTAGTTGAGTCTTGTTAGCGCCTTTTAATGTAGGTTTATTCGGATATTTTCTCGGACCTACTACTGAGATTTTGGTATCGTTATGTTTCAGATTTCACCATGTCAACACATTCGAATCACGACAAATCTAAGAGTTCCATTTGTGAAGAACTGGAAACTGTGCTGAACGCGGCTCAGTCTTCACAATATACCGAGAAGCAAGGTGTTCCAAGGTGGGCCCTTCTAGTTGCCTCGCCACATAACTTTTCGATTAACAGATCCTTTTGCTTGATTGGTGCTATTTTTGGTTGTAGATTTCCTTATTAGCAGTGCTTTCTCTGCATTTAGACTTATGGAGAAACTATGGAGCATTTTAGTGAAATAACCCAAAATATCTGCAATGTCATTGAAGCAATATTCATCCATGGCTTGAGAGATCCTTTTTTCGTCAAAGGATCGCGATACGCTAAATACCCGGAACCTGTGAGGTTTTTATCTGTTTGCAAGATGTGGGTGTTCCATTAGCCCATTCATAAGAGCTGCATCGTTTCAGAACATATGGCCTTTTGTATCAAAATTCTCGGAGAAGAAAATAATTGAAGAGGTTAATTCCTTAAAACAAATACGATCGGAGATAGGACGTGGAAGGGTTGGTGTTTTGCTCAGGTTTTACCGCCCATTCTACTTATCTTCATTTTGAAACATTGCTTATGATGGGATAGAATCTCTTATGGTAAAACTGCTATGCGATAGCTTAAAGTCTGTTCTTATAATTTCTACGTTGATCGTAAACCTGGCTTGAGTTTAACACAGGCGACTAGACCTAATTTGTGCTATGTGTGCAGGACTGCTATTTTGTTTCGCTCGAGGCGCGCATTGAACTCAGTACGTTCAGTCTGCCTCACTTTCAAAAAGTAACGAGATTGGGCAGGTAACACAGTAGCATTGATGCCGACCATCACGAACAGAGTGCCGGTTCGAAATCCCCGCTGTGCTTATTAAACCTGTCATCCCTTGGGTCCGGAGATTGATATAAGGCTTATCTGAGGACAATTTTTTCTTTAAAATCCAAGTGGGAACACTGTCCAGGCTTTCCCAGGGCTCAATGTAGAATCGACTCAACCAGAGCGAGATTCAGGAGTACGAGAATACCCAAGCAGCAGTTAACCCCATGTGTGAAAACTTCGAAGACCTTCGTGGATGATGGAAGCAAGGAAACGAAACGAACGAAAGAAGTGATGGGATCCGCACAGCAGATGTGAAGACGGGTTGTGTAAAAAATTGATCTCCAAGCTTCTCACCATTCCAATCAAGTTGACACGTTGTTAATGTAACAGTTGTTTCTACATTAACATTTTATTTCTTTGGATTTAGCGTTCTTTGGAGCATGAAAGGATCATATTAACAAATAGTATACAGCGCAATGTATTTTCTCAATCATAAGGGCAAAGCTCAAAATTTAGTTCTAATACGTTTCCTTTATATACCTATGTATCTTTCCATGTTTCTGGAACATTTCTAACTCTCTTAAAGACGCATTACCGTCTAACCACCATGTTGTCAACCCTTGGTTGTCGGTTTCGCAACAGATGTTGAGTAATCCTCGAGAACTTCTAACGTTTCCAACAACACTGCGTTTAAGCACATTGATAAGCGCTCATTCTGTGCATCTGCGTTCAGAATACCTTAGTACTATCATAACCAGCCACAGCCGAGATGTCTTAATACATTCCTAACTGGAAAGCTTCTGCACCAGAAGAACAAACTCGTAGAGAAAACATTTTCTGCGAAGTGCAGGGATTACACTTCTAAGGAGCCAATCATGGCATATCTGTAGTCGATAAGCAATGGGTGAATCTAGAAAGTATGGCATGAAACCTCTGTGAGGAAAAATAAATAACCGGGAAGAAAATGCATTGAAATGCTAATCTAGGCATAAATTTCACAGTGACTATTAATCTCTTTCAAGTTTTCGTTAAGTTAATTATTATATTTATAATTTGGAGAAGAAAGTACCTGTAGGCTGACTCATAACTTAGGTAGGTCTGCAGATACTTGGAAGGTGAAAGGCATAAGGTCGTAGTTTTCCTGTGAACAGCAATTCACAACGCACCGCTACATTATAGTTCGTTTAAAATAAGTTACTATTTTGAAATAGTTTTTTCTTCACTTTCTTATGACTCGTCTTCACATCTACTCTGCAGCTTCCTACACTGTCCACATTCGATTCCTTTCCTCGCATCCATTATCCACGAACATCTTCCCACTTACGTGTGGCTTCAGCTGCTGCTTGGGGATTTTCATTTAATCTTGAATGTCGTAGAATGCTGGTCGAGCAATGCTCCCCGGAATCCTGAAATAGCCGGGTTGGAGCGTTCCCAATTTTATTGTAGACAGTGATTTCTTCCCGGAAAAGTCGGGTACCAATTTCCTTGCCTCGGAAATATTAGAGGCTTGGTGAGCCAAGAGCAGAATCAAACTAGCACTGTCCTCATGATGACCAGCACCACTACCACTGTGCTATCCGCCCCACGTTGGGAATACTAATGTGTCAAAAACTCAGGGTAAGTCGTTAAAACCACTTGTCGCATATAACGTCCTTAGTTAACCTGTGCAGTAAAGATTAATTTTTATTTTTTAGGCATGGATTCGAATTGTCATTAACCAAAGTAATTTGGAGCATCACCTGCACTTACTTATTCGCGAAACTAAGGCTATAAGGTAAGCGTTACAGATGATATATACGTTTTGTGATTGTCACATGTATGCATATATATATATATATATATATATATGTAAATAGATACAAATGTATGCATATACATGTACTTTGTGTGTACCAATATTTATTTATTCATTTTATTTTATTTGATCCGTCTTGACGTCTACTGTTCGTATCTCAGCACTTCTCACATCCAGTTGGTTTCCTCGCACACAGTCCACGAAGGTGCTCCAAGTTTTTACGTGTGGCTTCGATTGCTGCTTGAGAATTTCCATTTCATTTTGAATGTCGTAGAATGCTGGTTGAGCAATTCGTCCTGGAGTCCTCAGATAGCCGGGCTGGAGCGTTCCCAATTGGATTGCAGAGAGTAATTTTTTCCCAGAAAACTTCGGTACCAATTTTCCGACCCCGGGAAAATGAGGGGATTGGTTGGCCTGAAGCGAAATCGAACTAGCACCATGCTCGTGATGACGGACATCACTGTCACTGCACTATCCGCCTCTTCCGTATGCCATATGTATATATATATTTGTATACATATATATATACATATATATATATATATATCTCCCAATGCTTTACCGCCTCATCGTGGCTGGAAGGTGTTCTGGGGGTCGGACTGCGATGTACAGCAGATGGATTTATCCCCCGGTAGGATCTTCCAAGCTGAGGAGTCCGACGTTTCCATCAGGGAAGCTAATACCAGGATCGACCACCGTTCTCGTATCAAACTAGTCGCTTGATGGCAAATCTTCCTCTGATCGACAAGGGCAGCGGCTGCCTGTGGTGTTGTCGACCTGATTCAGGGAAATACAATGGGTAAACAAGCAAAACTCCGAAAAAAAAGATAAAGTGCTAGTTCCCGCACAACCAATGAGGACGGGCCGTCCAAGTATCCAAGTATACATATAAATATACATATACATATACGTATACATATATATCTACATATGTGTATTCATATGCACATATATATATTCATATGCATCTATATGCATACACATGAATACATGCATACATACATATGTGTTGTGCGTGGATTATATCGTATTAGATATGGTAATCACCATTGGTTTTCTTATGTCTAGCCAGTTTTACGACCAGCACGCATTTCTTCGCGACCTTGACCAAGTGGAAAAGATCAGCAGTTTTCTAAAAGGTTTGGATGAACTACCAATCTGTGCAGCGGTCAATAGTTCCATGTTAAATACATGGACACCTTCACCATTAATACTGGCTGGTCTTGTGTCTGGTAAACCACTGAAAGGTAAGCTTTTGTTGACAGTTTAAATTAAGTATGTTTTTATGGTGTCCATCTTTTTACCAGTGATTTGTAGTGGGGGATTTGACACCACGCCGTCGTGCGGTGTCACTTCAAGATGACATGGAAAAAATTGGAAGACCAGCTGTTGATCTTCTGCACAGCGAACGTACGCCAAACACTATGGTGTCAATTCATGGAAAGGGAATGTCTAGTAGAAGTGGTTTATCTAGTGACATATCGCTTGGTAATGTTGGTTGATATGATATTGCGCCGTAATTTTTTAGATGTTGTCCACAGTGATGATAGTAACTCGTCTGTGTATTCTCATCCTTCATTGCTTGAATCAACGGACGAAATTCCCGAGCAAGTTATTTTGTCATTACCTTCACTACAAGACATTGTTGGAACACTTCCTCCACAGAATGTTGCGGTGAGGGGAAAAGTTCTTTCTTTTTGGCACTGAAGCTGTTTCGTTTTTTGTTTGTTCGTCCTATTGAGAACTAGGTTTCTGTTTTTTCACATTTTTGATATATTAGTTTTATAGGACAGATGTAGCAAAGATTGAACAGTTAAGTAAAAACTAGTCCGGCTTCAGTTCATTGGCAACTAATGACTTTCAAGTTTTGTCCGGAAATATTTGCGTCTCAAAAATTGTTTTTTCCAAACACCTTAGTGTTTCAGCCCCTCATTGTTTCACGTCGCACTAAACGACCACGTCGTTCTCGAAGTGGTAGCGAGAATAATTCAGAGAAAACCCATTCCGGAAGCGAATGTGTGAGTGGTTTTGTTTGCTCTACTTCTTTACCACCTTTTAATTTACTTTAGAAAGATCTTGGATTGTTTCAGATTAGTTTAACTAACTTTCATAAGGGTGTTCAAAAGTTTTGTTCACAAGGCTCATAGATTTTTCAACGTTTATAACTGAGAGGTCCTAATTGATGAATAACATAATGCTCTAGTGAAAACCAAGATGCTTGAAACGGAAAGCTCTACTCATCCATTCAGTTATATGTAGAGGCCACAGCACTTCCTCAGTTCATTTCATTATTTTGTAGCCGTCATATCGTGAAATTGTCGGCCTTAAACGTGGATTTGGCCGTTTGAGAATCTGTCATCCTCTCTTTAATGAAATATTGTATATGGTTAAGCCTAGTTTTTTCTAGAATCTCTCTGTATCGGTGTTAATGCGTTCCCAGGTCTTCACCACATTCAGTCGCTGGCCTTATAGACCGAGAGAAAGGTTGCAGCCTTGTGATTAAGTTTTTTGGGGGCGGTAGTGATTCTTAGGATCATTGGGCAGTTTGATCAATGAGGAGGCAAAGAGATGAATCACAAAGGTATTATTAAGGAGTATATTGATTTAGGTTCTAAAAAAATGGCAAAAGCAATATATAGGTTGCTGTGTTGGTTATTGGAAGGCATTAATTGTTCACAGTATTAAAAACAGTAGAAGTACAACCACAAAGATGCTGAACTATTCACAAATTTGTGCTCACCAGATCAATCCCTCTGACGGGTGATTGCTGGTGGTAGCAAAGGGCGGAAAGACTACCTGAGAGAAACACAAGGCAACGGCCTCAGTGGTGCAGTGTGTAATACGCGAGCCTCCGGAAGGTATAATCCTGGTTCGATCTGGGCCGTGGTCGAAGTTTTGCGAACATCTCGACATCGTTGCGGTTGTATTTCACATCATACCCTGCCGTAAAAAATTGTAGTAGGCGGCAAGTAAAAGGTTAAGACAGTGGAAATGTTCCAAGATATGATACAGCATGATTTTTTCCTCTACTAGTTCTCTCATAGTTCACAAATAGGTTAAGGTTACTGGAATAGTTTGTATTAGCACCTGTTTAACTATTATCCGGGTTGAATTTTAGGGGAGTACTCTAATTGATGCATCAACGGATCTGGACACTTCAACAATTTCAAAGGGTCATCTACCTATAGGTACGTCAGAAACATTGCATTGTGGCGTCGCATCAGAAAATAGGTTGGCCCATATTCTGATCATATGTAATAGTTACGTTACTTTATTCCATGTAGTATTTGCATTCTATTCAACAATTGCTTGACATTCTATATGTTCACAAACAGAAATACTCTAGCCTCAAAAACTCTGAAATTATTAGCTCGGTTTTTAATGTTGAAGGCGCCGGGTTGCGTGTAGTCGATGATACCACTGTTCAAATATTCGAAAAATCTTCGCCTAACTGTGGAGGTATATCATCAGTTATCACAGTATTTTCGTTTCCCATTTTATTCTTGTGGTGTAGAGTTTTTTTTCACTTTGTTTTCCTTCTGGCTTGATTTCTTAGTTTTTTTTTCGGAATCTCTCGTATTGCTTACAGGAAGTGTAAAAAATACTAGCAAATCAGAAAAACCAGTTTGCCTCGCTAATTCACTGTCTGTTGTTCATGCTGATGAGAAATACGAGTCCAATCCACTTGCTGAACATGATGAAATGGCTGGTGAATCTGAGGATATACATGAAGAAGTATTTGATCAATTGCCAGATGTCTCTTTTGATGGTGAAATTAAACACTCTAATAATAATGCAACGAACCAGACTTCAGAATGTCGTGATCAAGTGAGTAATATCTCTAAAACTTCTCGCACTTATATAACACTACAGTTTACAACTCTGTCTAGGAAGATTCTGTGCTTGGAACCTCGCCTTTTGATGAAATGTCTCTGCCAGAAGTACCTCCGAGTAGTAATAGCTTATTGAGTACGACTTGGAGTAAACCACGAAGATCTATGGTGAGGTCATATAAGATCTTTCAATCAGTCTTTGCTTCAAAACATTTTGCTGTCTTCAAGGACATTTGTTGAAACGTGGACTGTTTGAATGTGCAAAGTAACGCATATTTTTCCTCTGAGAGATCAAAATGTTTGAAATAACGTTGAAATTCCTAATGTTCCATTTCTAAATGTCCATCTTATACGAAAGAAAACGCTGGAAATTCAGTCTAACCCGGAAAGAAGTAGCAGTGCTCAACTTTCAACATCGTCAGGTACTGATGTTGAGGTCGGTGTTGTTAGCTTTGATCAAGCATTGTGCTCAACACTGGAGGGGGGAGAGTCTTTTAAGAAGGTATTCGTTTGCCATTGTACTAGTTTTCCGTCGCGCTATCACCGAAAATTATTTTTGTTCCAAAGTGTACCCAACTCTCAGTGCTTTATTTGTTTAGATGAAAGTAAATTTCGGTGAATTAGAGGGAAATGCGATTGGATCAGATATGGAAAGTGACATTGATGAGGTTTGTGTGCACTAACCATATATAACTCAAAATATTCCTGCTAAAGTCGTTTAATAACTTTTGTAGATTTTTGTTCTATTCTATTCTATTCTAGCAAAATAAATCTTATTTTAATAGAAGCTATGGTGGAGAAAATCGTCCTTACTTGATGCAGATCGAGTGATATCAATTATGACCACTATTCCACATGAAATTGGTCTCGACGCACAGAATTTCCACTGTCCAATGTGCCGGAAGTTGATTGGCTCAGAATTCTCCAACTACGGGTTTGGATATTAAAACGACCTTTCGATTCTTTTTATCTCTCGTACATTTTTTTTCCAGCATTTGCGGAATCGATGGATTATACTACTGCTCCGATTGTATGAGTGCTGGTGGTGAGGTGGCGATACCATCGCGTATTTTACGCAGCTGGGATTGGAGACCACGACCTGTATCTGACCGTGGCCGTGCTTTCTTTGAAGCCAATCAGGTTGCTGCACTCATTTTACGAGTAGCTTTCCCATTTTATCATAGCGTTTTTGGAAAATCGTACTAATACTTCTGTAGTTATATAGCATGTTTCGTATAGACATATATATGCATATATATTGCATAGTTATATAGCATGTTTTATATATATACATGTACATATATTATACATATATACACATGTACATATCAATATTTAACTTATCTTCGGGTTCCTAAAACGTTCTTGGATACTCGGAGCTGCAAACACATTCGTTATCTTGTGGATGGCCGTTTTAAAGGATACATCTTCTTGGGGCCTTTTGTTTTTATAGTTCTTCTGCCAGCGAATGTTCGCATTACAGTACCAGACCACTTCTGTTTTGCTTTCGAAACTTATTCTCCTGGATCTCGAAAATAGAATAATTTGCAAGGTCTAGACTCCACTGTATGGGCGGTATTTAGAGAAGATGGCTGAGTCTGAAATGAAAACACAGAATTTTGGGTTCCTTTTACGTTCGGCGGTTTCTTAAGCATCATCTTCCATTCGTGAAAATAAGGTCGATCAACCCATGGGTCGTGCCATTAGGAGTTTCCCATATCTATCTGCTATTTTCTGCCTTCTCGAAAAGGACTGACTTTAGATGGTGCCGACTTTTTTGACGAAAGCTGAGAAGAAGGAAAGCCATAGGAGGTGATAGGATCTCGTATGATGGAAAGCAAATGTGTTTACGACAGCAAATGCCTCTGGGATTTCGTAACGGGATTTTCTCTCCGCAAATGATATATTTTGTAGGACGATTACATTGGAATTTAATACGACCAGTGGTATTAAGAAGAGTGTAAAGATCGGCATCTTAAGAGACTATTCTGATTTTATCTGTACAGAGCAAGAAACAGTGTTTATGGCGTGTCATGAGCGTACTCGTTTTGTCCGTATCCAATGACATTTTATCGAACTCAACCTCTCCGGTTGTCTCACAGCATGACGTCGTAAACGGGAGCACCTGGTTTGCGAGGTACCTAAATTGAATTTACTGATGGAGCCATTGTCTTTTGCAGGGCTCCAAAGGTCAGCCTATCTGAAGCCCTCCTCAGATTGTGACCACCATAGGCAACCACCGGCCCGTGTGGATCTGAGAGAGATTTGCCACCATGCCTAGCTTGATATCAGGGCGATGATGATTTCTAGTATTGGTTTACTTTTATTTATCTATATGTTCTCATAGGCTGATCTTGTTGAGCTGATGCGAGGTTGGTACAATTGTCATTGTTGGTCTATCGTTGCCGTTTCGGCGATTTCGCCTTTCTCAGAGCTTCGACGTATTTTATACAACAATAGTTTAATAACTTCAATGATGCTGAAATACTTGCAAACCTCCGGACCGCAGGTGTCCGCGGTGGGGAACGGACGCATTATTGCCCTTTGTGGGGAGGGGGGGGGGGTAACGCGTTTGCAACCACACCGTGCAGGTCCTTCGTTTCGCCTGTCTCTTAGCATCATTGAAGTTATATTTCGCAATATACTGTGCCATTAAAGAGAGTAGGCAGTAAACAATAAGTTCAAATAACTTAATAACTCTGTTGAAAAACTACAGCAACGAGCGAGAACCACCCAGGTCAAAAATTCATTTTGAAATAAGGCGCCAGCTAACGTATCATAGTGAGGCATTCGTCTTTCTGAGTCATATTTGGATTTTTGAAATTTATCCAAAACGCCTCAAGAGTCTTACACGTTGATCTTTTTGATTCCGGTGCCAAGATCGGGGTAATCACTTCAAGATCATCGCTGTTGTGCTTTTGTGCCCTATTTGTACCTAGAGGAGTGCTTTGACGAACTTTAACCTTCCCGTCTTATATGTTCTTTTATGCGGACACAATGCAGTTTACACGGTTCCTGAATGTATTCCTCACCACATGTCTTACATGAGATAGTACGTTCTACCTGAACTCATGCAATCCCCGTCTCTCCCATTGGGACTGATTACACAAGTTTCTGAGCTGCACAAACAGCCATAGAGGCGGTTGTGGACTAACTGACGGCGTAGAGTATTTTCTGGGAGGTCAGTAATCACCACATAATTTTCAAGACCACTTTTTCTTAAGCACTTCATAATGGCTTAACTTTTTCGTTTGATATCTAGGGTAGCTTTAAAGGGATCTTACTTAGATCCGTAACATTATCTTGGGGTTTACTTTTAGTTGAGCTTTCGCATGGAAAGGCCTCTCTCAGAATGGGAGATCATGCTAGTGGAACATAACATCGCATTCCGGTGCCCAGGAACACCTCCTTGAGGCGGTAAACCCCTAAAAGTTCGAGTCTACTGTTCCTCTTGTACTAAACAGGGTTTATAGCGGTTGCTAATGGAAATTAGGTCTTCGAGTCAGTTCTCGGCTCCTTATGATCACTAGCTTTGAGTAGGATGCTCGACTTCGTAGTAGTAGCCACGCGGGACTTTTTCGTATTTGTCGCAAAGCAATATCTCAAACTTGGGTAATTAAACCGTTTATAACAATAATAATGATTCAAAAATAACGAAATATAAACAACAGTACAATACAGGCTGCAATATTGTATCATGATCAATAAATGAGGGTAATGCGGGTTAGTATCTTTGCTATAGGTACAGAGCTACATGACAGCAATGTTAATATACAACAGCTACCACATACAACAACAGAGAACACTTTGGATTGACTACAAGGCGCATTACACATGATGAACGAGTGGCGAATATGGTGTTGATGCACAGGGCTTTTTAAATATCTTCTGGAGAAGACGGTGCTTTGGCGCAGGTCCAGAACCTCTACCGAAAATACCCATCAGCTTGCGTCTCCGGCTCCCCTGTGATCAGATGACTGAGGACGGTTTGCCGGACAGTTTCAAGCCACTTTGTGTTACCGTACCCGTGATGGTTTGGAACAGATGCAACACACAAAGGGTTCCGATTGTATGGAAATAGTGTGTTTCACAAAGGATGTTTACGACAGCCAAAGTTTCTCACAGCGAAGTAAAAACGTTTACATGCTGCAAGATCGCAAAGCGATGCTGTAGACCACGAATATGGTTGCCACAGATCTGCGATATGATGAATGAATAATAACTATTCTGGCAATAGTTGCTATAGGGTTGTTGTCACAACAGTGTGTCAACGGTTGGATAGAACTAGTCTGTCTCACCACAGGATAAACCCATTGTCTTATTTTTTTTTATTTATTTCATATGACCTGTTTTTCACATATAGCAAAGAATAAAGGGTAAAACTCCCTGCGTTAACCAATCCCTGAGGGATGCGCCATGATTTCAACTTCATGAAGCATCGTTAGAAGTGACTGAATGCACATCTGACCTATACATGGACTTGCGGTGGCCTTAAGATGCATGCTGCTATCTTTCCATACAAACATACTAGCGACGTTCTGACTCCGGAAGGATAGAGGACTTGATGAGCCCAATGAACAAGATCGAAGCAGAGACCACGTTATATTGCAGGATAGCTCTAAACACTGTGCTACAAACGCCATTCTTTTACATATACTATGCGCACTCTAGCAATTTTTGCATTCGTTTGTTTTCTAGCGTCCATCATCCGCGAAGTTCTTCGAACAAGTCCTACATGAGTTATGCTGATGCTTGAGGATTTTCATTTTGCCATGAATGTCGTTGAATTCGAGTCTTTCTGTTTCTGATTTTTCTGTAGATCTTAGATAGCCGGAGTAGAGCGTTACCGCTTGGTTCGCAGAGAGTGAACTTTTCCCAAGCAAGTCTGGCACCAGTTTCCCGACGCCGGGGGAAAGAGAACTCTGGTCGACCCGGTGTGAGGTCTGATAGTAATAATAATAATAATAATAATAATAATAATAATAATAATAATAATAATAATAATAATAATAACTTTCATTTAACCTCGGCATTGACCGCTGTTTTCTTGCTGATCGTACGCGAAGTTATCTTACACTTCATTTACAAAAGCTGACGTTTCGGCGGTTTTCATCTTCTCCAACGCCTGGAAAGATGAAGCTGATGGCATTCTGGTCAGACGGATACCTCCATAACTTCACAGAAAAAGATGGTTCCTAGATTTTAATCGCGTTGGAAACAAAACGCCTTCTTCACATACTCACCGCTTTCTGTATATCTTCCATGAATATTCCACGCGGAGATCAACCATACAGAGTTCAAATGGATGGATAAGGCTCCTCTCTCACGTTAGAATTTTAGTTTTAAATACTGTTTGAAATCACATGTGATTACGAGGCATTCCTTTTCGCGCTTGATTTTTGTGTTTTTTGGATTAGTCCCGAGTGCCTGGAGTGTTTTACAGGCTTTAGATAGATACACTCGTTTTAGATTCCTGTGCTAGGATGGTGACTTTTACTTCAAAATCTTCCCCATTATGTCTCTGTGTCATATGTTCGCTTAGTCTAGCGTTTTGTCTGACTGTATGCTTACCGTTTAGATGCTCTTATGCAGAGACATTGAGTGGTTTACCCGTTTCGTCAATGTTATCATTTCCCCAAATATTATAAGTGATCAGGCATCCCTTACCCAAACTTATGCATTCACCTTCTCTACCGTTGAGGCAAACTGTTGTGCGTTTCGCATAAACTGTCATACAAACGATTATGAACTTTCTGGCTTCCTAAAGTGTTCGGTGATATTCTAACCACTCCTGCCAATTTCTCTAGACCGGCCATTTTCAAGCATTACTTTATAGCTATACTTGCTTCATTGGAAATAATGGGCAGGATAAAGGGGAGTTTTTTTTTGCTAGACATATCATTTAGGGGCGTGGTTACTCCTCTACACCTATCCCGAGGAGTTATAGTCATTGGAAATTACTATTTGTCATGTCATTTTGAAAGATTTTTCTTTCCGCTCTTTTTCTGTGCATACACTAGAGACTGTTCGAAACATGTTTCTCACAAGCGTTCTTTTTGTCTGAAGGGTCACAGCAGAGGTATTGAACCAATGTTTTGGTTAGTTGGCTTTCGGTTTTTTTGTTGTTGTAGCCATTTTTGGACGCATTAATTTCAGCATTCAAAGATGGAAGCCAGTTTTTATTCGGTTTCTCTCAACGTTATGAAAGTGTTTGACTGATTAGGTTGTAGTCAACTAGACTCTTGAAGGCTCTGAAGATGGCGAAATCCGACGAAACGTCAGGCGTAATAGAACACCAACCTCGTGTTTGCTCATCAAGAAAACAACGAATAACTATAATACTAAGATTATGTTATATTTTGAAATTACTAGTTTTCGATATTATATCTCCTGTAAATATCGATTCTGTGTGTTGGCTAAGACTAATCAGCTGTTTTAATACAGTTTAAGAAGGCTCCGTAAAGAATCAAATCAATTTTTAACTATATTTCTAGGACAGTGTCGTGTTTCATATTGATCAACAAAACCCAAGCTTATATGATCATGTTCCAGCGTTGAAGATTGTAAAGGTTTGTGCCTTAATTTCATTGGTTGGATTCTTTTTTGGAATACAATATTATATATATGTATATATATATACTTTTTCTATTTGATACGACCCGTTTTCACGTCTGCTTTGCGGATCCCTTCACTTATCACATTCAATTCGTTTCCTCGCATATATTGTCCGCAAAGACCTTCCAACGTTACGTGTGGGTCTTCGGTTGCTGCTTGAGGATTTTCATTTCATCTTGAATGTCGTGGAATGCTGATCGAGCAGTTCTCCTTGGAGTCCTGAGATATCCGGGCAGGAGCGTTCCCAATTGTATTGCAGAAAGTGATTTTTTTTTCAAACAAGTCCGGTACCAATTTCCCCACTCCAGGAGGATGGGAGACTTGGTTGCCCCAGAGCGGAATCGAATTAGCACCATGCTTGTGAATCTCACATTTCGAACTCAAATGTAATGAGGATAAAGGATAAAGCTCTCGGCGCCCGTGAACTTATATATATATATATATATATATATATATATACATATATATATATATATATATACAGAGTGATTGAAAAGTAATTTCCTATTTTGAAATTCCCATAATTCTTTCTTTAATGCAATTTTTACTCGGAATGAATTCGGGGAAACATGTATATCATGGAACGCTACTTAAAATTCGAAATAGGCATCAGCAGTCGCTACCGGTTTCTGAAACCGACCGGAAACCACATAGACTGCTTTTACCAGGAACACTTGTGGGGTGGAAGACATAACTTTTCGTATTCGAGTGTCAAGTTCTTCCAAAGTCCTTGGTTTGATACAGTGCACTTGCTCCTTTGGCCAACCCCAAATAAAGGAGTCGCAGGGTTTTAAGTCTGGGTTTCTGGCTGTCCGCTTATGCGGGCTACGACGATCCATTTATCTCCCAGAGAAGAAGGCATTTAACCGTTCAGAAACAATTCCCAAGACCGACTTTCTGTTAACCTCGGCATTAATTGATAATTCAGTGTTTTTCTTCAGTAAGCAGACACGAGGTTGTTAATATAGAATTTATTAGAATACAATAGCGGACGTTTCGGCGGTTTCGTTTTCTTCAGAGCCGTTTATTTGTTGTAAGTATTTAAGTTAGTTGATGGTTAGCCGCCGCACAGAGTAATACATGGGCGATAACTCGTTATTACTCTTGAAGCGTTTTGGATCAATTCCAAAGATTCAAAAATGAACCGCAAGGAGGAGTGTCTTGTGATCACACGTGACTTGGCGCCATACCTCAGGCTAATCCATTGACCTGACACAGACACAGTTATCCCATGTATTACTCTGTGCGGCGGCTATCCATCAACTAACTTAAATACTTACAACAAATAAACGGCTCTGAAGAAGGCGAAACCGTCGAAACGTCAGCTATTGTAGTTCTTCGTATTTTTGTTGAGCAAACGCGAGATGTTATTATTCTTTATTCACGAATAAGCTGACGTTTCGGCGAATTTCGCCTTCCTCAGAGCCTGCCCACCATTATCCTCCAGAGGCGGTCCTCCAAATATTGAGCACAAAAGTTTTCCTTCGTCTCGCACTTCTACTTGGCGAACATCTGGTTTTGTCGGCTCCGTAGACAGGTGCGTAGTATTCGCAATTCGATGTCCAGTACTCGGTGACTATCCTCTGGTAGTCGGCATACGTCGTGTAGCCGTCTTCGTTTGATTAAGTTCAGAACGACTCGATGTTTTAGACATCGGCGCAGAAAGTGTATTGACTGTCGAGCTAAGACGATCTTTTGTCTCAGTGACAGCGCTTCTTTTACAAGTCGGAAGTATCTTGCTGGTACATCTACACGGCACACAAAAATACGAAGAATTACTTGATCCGAGGTTAATAGAAAGTCGGTCGTGGGAGTCAGCTATTGTATTCTAATTAATTCTATATTAACAACCTCGTGTCTGCTTATTGAAGAAAAACATTCAGAAACAATAATAGGAAGATGTGGAGCAGCGCCGTCTTGCACGAAAATCATATCTGTAAAACGAGAGACTAGTTACCATTGCTGCATGTCAAATTGGTTTTTTTGTGCTATGAGTAAACATTTCCTGGATAACTTGCACTGCCTACTGATCACTAGGATCGGAATGGCGACAGTTCTTTGAGTATTAGCTACAGATCCTACCGCCGTGATTTTTGTTATAAAAATTCTGGATGTTCTTTGCGTCACCTTTTCTTTTAATGGTTCTCCACCGTCTTTGCAATCGAACAACGAATCTGCAAACTTCCAAACGTGCTGCCAACTGGCCATGCCTTTGCAGAGCAAAAGATCTACCCATGTTTGTAGGCGACCCGATTTCCAAACGAAGTAATCGATCTGGAAAACATAGATTTAATTCTGCACGCATTAAGGAACGTGCACAAAAAATTTGAGCAAATATTGCAATATATAAACAAACTATAAGCATATTTAAGGTGGGACTTACTTTCCTGTCACCGTATGTTCTGAATTATTAGCATATTTGAATTTATCATGACACAAAACGTATCGCTATTTCACGAAAGTCCTAGATGGTCTTTATTAGCTTTCTATTAGTATCTTAAGTACTCTTTGTTGTATCAGTGTGAAAAAAAGAAATCCGTTATTTTCAACCACAACTAAGTATAGTATATAATATAAAAGGATGCGAAATACTACGCGCTTCGGTACCACCAGTTTTCCTTTAGATTAAATAATATGTGATTTTTCAGTGCCTGAGGGAGAAACTCCAGATCGCTTCCATGTACCTTTTCAATTGTCGTGAATCGATAGCTGAAGATTTCCGAAAGCGAGTGTGGCCACGGAATCATTTGTATAGTGACATACATGCTTACTCCGTCAGTGTAGGTGTTAAGCTATTTAATTCAAGTTTATAAAAATTTCTTTGAAACCGCTCTGCTGCGGTATTTTGATTATGGGCTATATTTAGGATATGATTCTACTTCGTAGTGGTTTACTGGAGAAACAGGTTACGGGATTCTTAGCGCACGTTATTGATCACATCATGCACTGTTTTTTATGTCGTCAAAAAGGTTTCGTATGTGAGGTGTGTGAGGCTCGAGAAGTCATCTATCCGTTCCAGACGGAGACCACATATAAGGTGTGTGGTTGGTTGTATTAAGTGCCAGTTATGCTTGTTCATTTTTCGTTTTGAATTTAATTATCTTTTTTCAAATTAACCGTCGTTTAACCTCAGCAGTAAAATAATCATCATGTTTCTAAATTGTTGAGCTTACACGAGGTTGATAAAGATCTTTGTTTTGGTTGTCGTTTCGACGTCTTCATCTTCATCAGAGGCGATGATGTGAGTTGGTGGCCCGGGTCGACACGAAGATGAAGACACCACCTTGAGAACACGAACGACTGTGGACCACCGATCAGGATTATCGGTTCTAATGAAGACAGTGTCGAAACATTAGCCGAAATAAATATCTTTATCAACCTTATGTAATCTTAACTCTTTTATTTACTGCCTTTTTCTTCTTAATGGCAGGGTGTGTTTCGAATTATGACTCGTATGAAATGCTGAAATTTTTGCAAAACTCCGGACCACAGGTGTATGCAGTGGGGAACGAGCACGGGCTGTTGTCCTTACCGGGGAGCAGCGCACTTCACCACTACACCATCCGGGTCCTTCGCTTTGCACGTCTCTCAGCTAGTTCTATCGATCTTTTACCCTGCCATTAAGAAGAAAAAGGCAGTAAATAAAAGAGTTAAGATTGTGATTATAACTAAGCCTCAGCTTAGCTGGGTTCAATGCCGATATTGGCTCCCCAGATCAATCCCGTTGACGGGTGATTGCTGATGGCAAAAAGATCGATAGAACTAGCTGAGAGACATGCAAAGGGAAGGACCCGGATGGTGTAGTGGTGAAGTGCGCTGCTCCCCGGTAAGGACAACAGCGCGTGTTCGTTCCCCACTGCATACACCTGTGGTCCGGAGTTTTGCAAATATCTCAGCATTTCATACGTGTTATAACCTTATGTAAACTCAACAATTTAAAAACGCGTTGATTAATAATTTTTGGTAAATTTTGGATAAAACGGTAACCGCTATTTATTGAAACGCTTTATTAAATAGAACATCCAGTAAGCGTTAAACCGACACACAGCTACGTATGCTTAGAATTCCAGTGCTCCCATTGTTCCTCTGTCTTTCACGCAACGTGTGTAAGTAGGACGGAGGACTGTCCGAAATGTATACGTCGAGCAAAATATGAAATTCAACAAGAAGCGAATGATTTACCTCTTGACTAACGTTTACGTGCCATCTTCTACGACCCACGTTCTAGTCAAATATGAATTTGGATTTCGCTTTCAATTTATAATCGCTACCTTATTTTTATTCTGTAGTTCACCATTCCTTCCTGTTTTCGCTGAAAGCACGGGCTAGTACTATCATCGCTTTTTCCTAATTTTCATAACATAATTTACATTGCAAGGCAGTTAATTTATATTGCTCTATACCGCTATAAAACCAGTGTAATAATTGCATATTTAATAGACATATACTCCCTTCGCATTAAGAAGTGCAATTAATATATACAAAAAGTGCACTTAAAACATTTTCTGTCACAACAAGAGAGTTTAACTTCTTTTTTGTTTTACTTGTTTGCTCATGATACCACTTAAGAACTAAGAACTGTGAGCTTCTCTTTCAACTCTACAAGCGTGTGCTACTTTTGTTTACCTTTTTCTATCTGTATAGCACTCTTTTTTGTATGGCAGTGTACGTAACGAAATAAATATGTTTTTCTATTCCTTGTTCAACATTCTTCCTATCATTCTTGAATTCTATGCTCAGATTTGCTTCTTCATTTTAAGACTGCGCATTCTCACACACACAAATTCATAATACCTAGTTGGATACTTGGATGGCCCGATGTCACTGTTTTTGTGGGCCTCAGCACAATCTCCATTTTTTCGGTATTTTGCTGGTTTAGCCATTGTGGTTCTTTGGAGTCCTGGGGTCAACCAGACCAAAGTTTGCCTCAGGTCGCCAATACCACAGGCAGCCGCCGTCTTGGTGAACCAGAGAGAGATTTACCACCATGCGACTAGTTTGGTAACAGGGCGGTAGTGGATTTTGCTATTTGTTTACCCTTAGCTAGGCTTCCTGATTGGAAACGCCGGGCTCCTTTCCGACACCCAGCCACGATGAGGCGCTAAACTGTTAGGGGGTGCATTATCATACACTTCCATAAATTTCTTGGAGGTTGAGTAATCTGTGTGTTTTCTCGCTTTTAACGTCATTTTGTATTACTTTTAGTAGAAAAAAAAGTATTTAAAAAAAATCAGTTAGGAATTAAGTGCCATTTCTAGTTCTGTGGAAAGAGACTGGAGCAGTATACCTTCCATTCCTGTTAGGATGCTGTTACTTTTGTGTGATGAGAAAGCCTCGGAAATTGCTTGTTTATGAATGTGTCGTTTTCTTGTTCAGCAATCTCGAGGTTTTCAAACAGCATACATTTACTTCCATAAAAGAACAATACAATACAACGCTAGCTGACGTTTCGGCAGTATCGCCTTCTTCAGAGCCTGGAAGGGTATACTGATATACAATCTACTAGGCCAAACGCTTCAATGACACTTACAAAAAGACAAAAAACTCTTTGGTAATTACACGATCAACAACTTCTCGAAAAAACCCACCGATTTTTCGTGACTTCCAATGAGGAAGTTTAGAACAGCTGATTATAGTCGCATGTGGTTGACGACTGCACCATCCCACATCAAAAATCGATGCGAACGTACGGGATCAGGTCGCGTATGACCTCCGGGCATTCATCCCTGCTATTCATTGTAGGGTTTTTGGCATTGATCCAAAAAGCCTCTAGGAGTTTTCGCGCTGGTGTTTTGGACTGCTGTGCAAGGATATTGACTTTCACTTCAAAATCGTCTCCGCTATGCTTTTGTATCCTATGCGTGCGTGCCTAGTGGGGTGCTTCGTCTTAGTTTTCGTTTGCCATCTAGGTGTTCTTTTATACGGATACACAAAGGTCTGCCCGTTTCGTCAATATATTCATCTCCGCAATTGTTACAAGGGATCAGGTATATCGTACCTGAACTCATGCAATCACCGTCCCTGCCGTAAGGTCAAATTACGCAATTTGTTGTTTCACACAGACGGTCATACAGGCGGTTGCGAACTAATTGGCGACGTAGAGTAGCCGGTGGTATTTCAACTATCGCTACCGATTCCTCTAGACTTGCCCTTCTTAAGCATCGTTTTATAGCAACGCTTACTTCATCGCTTATAAAAAACGGCAACATAAACGGGACTTTCTTTTGGCCAAGTGTTTCACGTGGGCGCGTCCTTCTCCTTGTAAACTAATCTCGTGGGGTTACTATTTCGTAGCCATTGGAGATGGCTATTTGCCAAGCCAAGTCACGCGATTCTTCCTTTAGTTCCTTGGTAGTGCACACAGAGGTGGCTGTTCGAAACATGTTTCTCACAATCGCCCTCTTTGTGTGTGAAGGGTGATAAGAAAGGAAATGAACAAGGATGTTCTTGTTACTTGGCTTTCGATACCACTTTGTCAGGTAACCACTACTTGATATGTTTATTTGAACGTCCAAAACCGAGGTGAAACCGAGAGAAAACTGGCTTCCGTTTTTGGACGTTCAAATAAACCTATCAAGTCATTGAAGCGTTTGGCCTAGTAGATTGTATATCAGCATACCCTTCCAGGCTCTGAAGAAGGCGATACTCCCGAAACGTCAGCTAGCGTTGTATTGTATTGTGTTTTTTATGGAAGTAAATGTATGCTGTTTGAAAACCTCGCGGTTGCTGAACAAGAAAACGACACATTCATATTCCAACGCCGAGGTTAAGAGAAATTCGATCCTGGAATTATTGCTTGTTTAATTGTTAGAAAATAGGCAATTTTTCATATCCAACTTCAAATGCACGAGCCTTAACTCATAGCGATTTTTTATTACCACTTTCACAACCATGCTAGTTTTTTTTATATCTACCAATATCTCTTTGATAACTACAACTGATTTGAGCTGGGAAGATAAGCGTTAAAGAAAGAATTTCTTTACCACACTGCGGACGTCTGTGATTTCTCTAAAACATTTCATTTCGGTCCCTTTCAAAATTCCAGACTTCAGAAATTCAAAATGAGGTTTAAATTATTCATTTCCAAAACACAAGCTCGGCAGCAGATCAACATTACGTATAGGCACTGAGGAACATCATCGCGTCCTGCTAAGGTGGCCCGACTTGTTAAATTGCTTCGCCGCACGAAGTAGGAAACTCAGTAAGAGAAATGCAGAAAAATCCTTGAAATCCATAATTTTACGATTCAATCCTAGTAAGGTAAGAAGTCCAGTATTCGCTTGCCATGCGGCTTTTACGGCCTTGATTTCAAATAACACGTAACGGCTGTGTAGCAATGTGTAACACACGTGTGGGCCAAGTATAAGAAACTGCATTGTACACAATGTATTGGTGCCATTAACTTACAGCACGAATCACCTTTATTACTGACCTTGCTCGCTTTAGGGACTCGGTGTGTACCGTATTTTCCATCTAGTGTTTTTGTGAAGAATTCCGACCATAGGGTCGGTAGTTCCCTTGCCGTGCGTTCGTTATCCCAAGGAATGCAGTTACTAACAGTTCTTGTCCATTGATTCTCGTTCATAACAGTTACAATTACGTGACCGGCCAACTTTATCTTCGACAGTTTGGCGTCAAGAACGGCATCTTTAATTTTTGATCGCCGACGCAGTCTGGAGTTTCAGATCTTTTTCCTTACTTGTGTGACAGGAAATAATCCTAGCATCATCCTTTCGACTGCGGATTCAATAGCGCTGAGTGATCTTTCATCCTGCTAACGCAGCGACCAGCTTTCTGACGCACTGAGTCGAAAAGGCGGGACGGAGTCGTGTGTTCTTTGTTCTCTTAACTACATCCTCGATGCTCTTGAACGCTTCCCAAGCTGGTCGTTTCCTTCTGCTCAACTCTGGAGCTAAGTTGTTCATCATGTTGATTTCCCGACGTAGGTAGACGTAACTGGAGCATTCGGAGATACTCGTTCCATTGTCGTGAATGGGGCTCATGAAGCCAATCTTTTCCTGATGACCATCGTTTCTGTAGGATATAACTGAAGAACAG